CATTGGGCTTCAAGCTAGAGGCTTGAAGTTTCGGTAGCAGTAGTGTTTATTTTTACTGCATTGGTTTGCTGGCCTCATGCCCAATTTTCCCTTTTGACCTGTCTTATTACTGGCTTAACGAGGTCGGGGAGCATTCTACCACTGTGCCCCTCTGAGAACGCAGAACTTCAGTTGAATTTTAGGTTAATCACTAGAGTTTTGGCTAGTTACATATCTACAGAAATTGCTGAGTGAAAAAGTAAATATCCTTTCCAGAATTTTGTGGGCTTCAATACTAAAATACAGCGAGATAACACAAAACTGTAGATTGACAGTTACATGTACGACTCTCCAATTTTAGCATCGCACATTTTCAACTGCGAAACTAACTAAAAGTAAACACAAATCAGATATACCTGTGCCCAAAAATCTTTCCTCATTGCTCTGTGCATCAGTTTTGGAGAGGGAGCATCTTTTATTCGTACCCCTTGTCGTTTGGAATAAGATTTAGTCATATCCACAATTTTCGGTTTATGAAGTACAATATAAAAGTTTGAGGGAATGTATTGTCATGCTCTACAATGATTTTCCATGCAAATATTCATACAAACAATCAAGAAAGCTTTTATATGTCCATATAACAATAACATCAGTTCTTAACCACTAACTACAATCAAACGCAATTCATTTTACTATTTAAGTAAGGAATAAATTTGAATTACTTTATTTCCCAAACGTCCATTACATTTAAATAATACAAATAGTTCCACCGATTACGAATCTTTAACTTCTGTTTACTTGATGAGATAGCACAGTTGACGACTATTCACACGTCACCAGTTAAGACGCAATTAATCATTGCATTTTGGCGTTGATGCAGTAGATGTCACCAACATGGAATTGTACCTTAACATTAGGAAGCACACTCTAGGAAGTCGATAGTTGGATATAAGCCTATTTAAAATAGATTAGATACTGAGGAATAGAAAGTCTAGTCCTCATTGATCATTTTCAAGTGACTTGTTATGAGATACATGAGACAGCTCTCATGTAACCGGCTCCTAATCAAAATGCTCTAAATTTTATGGTTCCTAATTAACTATACTGACTGGCTGCATCCTTAATTACATAATCATTTGATCGCTAGTACTAGTATTTCAAAGCTATAGAAAAAAAGGTTTAAGTTGTGGCTTGTGTGTTCCAAAGCAGATGAAGGTATCAGTGAATATATGATTCACCGTGGGAATTACAGTTACTTGGAATTCATAATGCAGTCGTCAGTTATAATAAGCCATCGTTCAAGAATTCGCCCAATTCATTTGATTGATTGTCAACCTCTTGACAGGACATTCAAACGTAGTATAGAAGCATCAAAAGTGTAATGAAGCAGGGCTGAACTCTTTCGATGCAAGTATAGACCCTTGATTTCTATAAATAATGAGTATCAATTTGCAACGGGTTCTTATGTCTGAATGATAGGAGTTATCTCTCTGACACTGAAGTCTTCCGAACTTGGTCTTCATTCTAAATACGTTGGATTTTAGTATATGTAATTAATCAACAGGCTTAATGTGCAATCAGAATGTTATTTCATCATTGACATAACGTAATCATATATATATATATATATTAGTCAAATGAAGTTATCTCTGCAATCACAAGGCAGTCATTTACCATATGATATCTTAAACGTCAAATGGAGCAGAAAGACCAAGGGCGGAAAATCGTGTTGCCATTGTTTTAGTCCACTTCGTTATATCACTGATTAATTGCAGTCTCTATAACTAAAATACTGCTGAGCTCACACGGTCTTGCAAAAATTCGCTTAGATCTAGCAGACTAAAACGCTGATTGGATTTCCATCTGGAAGCATATTACTTTGATGAGTGACAATTTGAACCCTAACCGTATCAACACGGAGCGTGCAAAAATCGTGTCGTCAATAATATGCTTCCTCCCGTTTACTGATCTAAAGGAAATAAGTGTCAAATAAACTAAAGGCAAGTGGGCTCCTATAGGAATATCATCAATCTACCTATATAGACAGAGTATGATATTTTTCGAGCTCTTTCCTGTTTACTACCGAATGAATTGAAAGGTATATTTATTAACGAGAAATTTCACTCGTAACACTAATTGAGAAGCTGATATCCCATAAATGTTATCCGAAATAACCAGTCATCCAAGTTATGAATTAGTGAAAGAAATTTATCAGCTTGTATATACTGACTTATTTCAACGCAGAAATTTGCACCCATGTGTAGCCGTTCGAGTTGACACACTTCACGTACCACACAAAGCAACAGAGAGAGTAAAGAGATTCAAAACAGAGACATGACGCAAAAAGAATAGTAACATGCAAGAACAATATAGTCTTATTGGTTATTATAAGTCACGAGGAGTGCATGCATTTGTGTCGGCCATTGAGAACGATTTTGACCCATATCACCAATTCTCTCCAGTCATTGGTTCTTACCGTCTCCAGGACACCAACCAGGAAGTCTACACCTCCCGACGTGGCTAAAACTGTTACAGAGTTCATTGACTGATGAAGCCATGTTTCGCTCTGATCACCACTAGCAAACTCTTTTCCAACCTGATCCATCCTATGTCAGATAACATTGCTCGTCGAGGAAGGCGAGGCATACGCAACACATGTCATTCAATGTAACTTCACTACCTCGTCGATTGATTTCCCCTCCCACCTACCTAGCACTCGACCGATGCCTCACCTCAATATTGCTCGTCCTATTATGCCCCCTAGCAGGGGAGATAGACCGCAGACACCTATGATCAAAGACAGCTAGCCACCCTTTTCACGTCTTCCACTTTTAATGGCCAGATTTCACAGCCATTAAGGAGGACGAAGCAGACTGCTGAGCAGCACACACGCCCTTTGGTCGATAGACAGCGGGATATCACATCTACGCCAGAGATGGCGTATGCCCAACGGACCTTTTCTATCTGTGCTGAGATTTCGTCAGTGATCAACCGGTTTGGGCTGACTGATGCAATTTCCCACTTCACTCTCTATCTTTAAGCTAGGAGTCAATGCAGTGAAGCTTGCATATAACCAACTTACCAATGATTCTTAGTGTACTTTAAAGTTCTATCCATACCACATCTGTTCCATCCTCCGTTTATAAACCTTATATAAGTCCTGATATTCGGGATTAGACTTTCCTTACTACATCAGATACGAAGCTCCATATAAACTCCAGTTTATGGACAAACAAATTTGCTAAATGCATTTCTCAAATTATTGAAGTGTTTTAACATTTCATTTTAATACACCACTCAGAGTGAACGCTTGTCCAATGAAATCAGTGCACAAAATAAGACATACAGGTACTTGATCGTACACTGGAGTTACTCATAATAAACAAACAGAAGAGCTTCTATGAATTAGTGACATGGAGCTGACATAATTTAACAAAAGCTTTCCCAGCTCATAGTATAAGGCACGCTACACAAAGTTATGAATGAACTATTATCTGGACGCGTTTATCCTCATGTATTTGAATAGCCTAACAACACGCCACATAACGTTAGCCGTCTTTTATGTTAAAAATTAATGGTGTATATTTATAAGTAACGTGATTCCAAAATAAATAGCAATGTAAGTTATTCATTGCATGCAAGGAAAATTGAAAATATTATTAATCTCCCCATATTTGTTCTTGTCCCTATTCCCTAGGAGAAAAATGTAGCATCTTAATTCAGCCCATTTTTCATATGGTATAGGTAGTGAATTATTGTGAACAGGTGAGTGTTACAGTGGGGTACTTCTGAATAGAGTAAATTATGACCTAACTGTACAGGCCACCTCATGTCATCCGTCATTTATTAGGAGCTGAGTTATTATGCTGCTTCATATCGTACTGATTAATTTTGTCAATTTACACCGTTTCATACCAAACAGATATCTCAAAAGGTTAATTAATACTTAGAAAAACAATTAGGAAACTCTCAAAAGCTCTTCTGAAAGAAATTAGCCTTCTGCACTGCCAAAGCTCTAACCGATCAAAATACAGAAGCAACTGATGCGGTATGAATGGGGTTATAACTTCAAATGAATTGGAATCCTGAAAAATCCACTAACCATTTGGTTGGAGAAAAATCTTAACGAACACACAGACTCAACACCGGTGGCAATGACAAAAACTGAAATTTCTTATCACACCACATTATTTTATAACGCCGCACTTCTCAAAATCAGAAAAATATATTATAATCAACGGAGTGATGACACACTGTCATTTACAGAAATGCAAAGAATGCATACATCCTAGTAGGTTACTTTAAAAAAACGATTACCAACTATTTATTGTTATCAACAGATCCCTACAGATTCCAAAGGTATTCACAGCACGACTTTACTTTTAGGAAATTATCCTTATGTTATTACAGAGGTTGTGTGACAACTGGTCATAACAGATATAACATATGGTGTAAGACGAGTTAAGAGTCTGAATTGAAAAGAAACACGAATAATACCTACATCGTTAGAGAGTAGTGGCAGCAGTCATAGCAACCACATGATATTGAGAGTAGCAAGGGACCATTTCTTACAAAAATTCATCCGTGATTAGTATGCAACAGTCTTTTAGCCGATGACACTTAGTTCGTTATTTGTAACACGCGATGACTGGATAATTATCGGCAACCCAGAAAAATGAATTATTATTGTTGTATGTGGTGGAATGTACTTTTACACACGAAAAATACCTTATTCTAACAGAATATGTGGCTAAGCTCATGTTGAGGATAACCTGATACTTTAGGACTGAAATGACGAAATACGTTGCAGATTGGAAACACTCTGACGACCACTGTGAATTTAAGTATGCGGCTGTAACATACATGTCAAAAACCATTATGACATTAAAGGCATTCACCACAGCAATATCACTTCTTACTATCAGATATACTTATAATAGATATAATATAACACGAAACTCGTACAGAACCCAACCACTCCATCACTGAAGAATAAAGTTTTATTCTAAATGAATTATGTAAAAATACAAACGGGTTAGTTGAATATATGAAGTAAGGTGGGAGGAATTGCAATGATTAATGTACAAAGTAGAAAGGAAGTGAACTGAAAAATATGACAATAAAATCCAACTATGCCAACGGGTTATCTCGGTCGGTTGAAGATAATTCGTTTTCTTCAATGGAAGTAAAGTTTAAAAAGTGTGAAGGTCTATGAATGCGATGATAAAACTTTTTCGGTTTGAGGGGTTGTAGCTCATATTTCATATTAGGATCGTGGCGTACACCTAAAAATGAAAACAGAAAACATTATTATCACGAATTAAAGTGTGTAGAACAATGCAACGTTATTAAGTACACTGAATATCAGATAAATTAAATTCAAAAAGATTTTTTTAAATACATTAGAGATTTTTATTCTAAACTTACCCATGAAGTTATAATTCCAAGAAGTCTGTGGCGGTACCATAAAGAATCCCAGAAATCTGTCTGATAGTAACATTTGTACTCGTTCATAGTGACTTGGTAAGTAACCTTTTGGATTATTGCCTTTATCAGTATTCTGGCGACCCCATTCATAACCACCAGGTGTAAGTTTATGTGCACAGAGTGAAACTGAACCAGGAGTAAAACTACAAGTTATGACGATGGTTTTCTCTCCATCTTGGTCGGAAAAGATCTTAGCATGAGTGGTGATATCCTGAGTGAAAAAAAACATTATGACACCAGTGAAAATTTTGCACAATGAAAGACATTTAGGAAAATCAATAAAAATGACAAGGCAATGCACATACACAACAGCACACCAGTTTGCACAACTAAACTGATGAAATATGGCATTTAAAAAACTTGATTTACGTAATGTGTCTCTTGTACTTTTAAGTACAAATACCTATTGCTCAACAAATCTGCAGAAAACGGAGATGGACTGGACACATGCTGAGGAGACAGGCAAATGACATCGAGTGGGATCAGAATTGGAAACGACTTGTAGGGGCGTCCGAGAGTGAAATGGAGGAAATCGTGTGACATGAGAGACTACAGGCAATCGTGTGGCCAGCTAAAGAGGGCCGCAGAAAATACAACAAAGTGGAGATGTGCTGTTGAAGCCCCACATTCCAGTCGAAACTCAAGAGAAAAAGAAAAATTATATATATATATATATATATATGATAACATGCCTCTAGAAAATTTACACATTCATGATTGAGTAAAAGTGATAAGAAACGAATCTATCTGAGACTTTAGATTCTTCTAACTTCGTCCTATAAGGGGTTGTTCTGGTTAACCTCAACAAACTGTTAACGTGAAGGCAGTAATAAATACTATGGTCAGTGGGAAAAATGATCGAATAACTAAAGTAACCAGAGATATATCCATGAAAAAAGCTGTCAGTTTTTAAAAAAAATTATGCAATTTTCAAAAATGATTTACAATCACCCCCGAAAAGGCAATGACTTCGCAATTTTTGCAACATAGCTAAGTTTAGAGAATGACAGTAAATGAAAAGTCGCGCTCATTTCACATTCATTTGTATTTTTGTGACTTCTCAACTAAATGCACCGTGGGTCAAGTAGAAAATAGCCTAAAGTGAAAAATTAATATTACCTGAGGTGAAAGCTGTGGCAGTTCGTTCGGTTGAGTATGAATCCAGCCCAGCGGTTCCAATTCCTTCAGGTACTCGTCTTGTGGAAGTCCATTAGGCAAATGAACAGTCTGATGAGTACCCCATTGTGGCGGCATTACAATACAACGGATTTCTTTTATTTGAGAATTGTCTGCCGGTGAAATACCGTATAAATAACCAGCGATCTAAACAAAGTGAAAGGAAAGCGCAATTTTAATGAGATACATTTATTGTATAAACCAAATTCGATATTATAATAATACTATGACTGAAGTTACCTGTGTACGTAGATCGGATATGGTTATGAATTTCTTCAAAATATTTTTGGGTAAGATATATGTGTATCCGTTTTCCTTAATATCATCTGAGCTGACATATATATTGTTAGTTCGAAGGTACAAATTGGTTGCGGAAATTGCACGAACACGCCATTCTGTTTTACTACTGAAATGAAGAGTTTCATAGTTTGATGTTGTCGTTGAAATAATTTCATCCCCGTGTTTGTTTACAGTTCTTGTTGTGGTTGCTGTTAGTTGAGATTGTTCTTTAGCTTGTTTTTCAATTTCAGCTATTTGTTGACGTTGTTGTGATGGGGCGGAAATTTCCATACCCAAGATAATATCACGTATTTCTGATTGGGTCAGTGAGGCGACATTAACACTGAAAAATTAAGGTGAAATTGTTATTTAACACAAGAAGCAACTCATAACTCTTGTATTAATAAAAAGACAATTGCAGCGAAGAAAATTTTCTTTTCGACGAAGTCATCATCTAGGCTGTACATTCGTGTATTTATATCAAATGGATAGGAAAGTTCCAGAATAATTTCTGGTTAGGGGTCAAATTAATAAAAATTACAATTAGGAATTAAAATGACGTAACAAACAGGTATATTTTGTTATTTCTACATTTCTAACCCCCAATTGCATAATGTCAGTCTTCTTAGTTATTATAATGCTACTTTGTTCGAGTTTTATCCATCCCCCCTGTTTGTTACGTCATTTTAATTCCTAATTGTAATTTTTATTAATTTGACCCCTAACCAGAAATTATTCTGGAACTTTCCTATCCATTTGATATAAATACACGAATGTACAGCCTAGATGATGACTTCGTCGAAAAGAAAATTTTCTTCGCTGCAATTGTCTTTTTATTAACTCTTGTATTGTAGACGAAGTTCAAAAGGAATAATACCGAATTATCGGTGCATGCTTAAATCTAATCATTTTCTCTATAATTCTGGTTGTGCTTCGAAGACTGAAGTCTCCCACAGTGTTTTCGGCACATGCAAGGAAAACCGTTTATAAAAATTCTGATGAAGGAGGTTATTACTGTTCTTAATGTAACTTTGAAAAAATCAGGCAACGGTAATTTCAAAGTTATATGAATAATCACATCAAGATAAATGTTACACACTCACTCAACGTATATGCAAAAGTGTGAGATGTCTAGTGAAACCACACAAACTGAATTCGCTTACTAGCAATTGTGGATTTTCTCTCTCCTTCAGTTATAATTACTATTGGCTAACACTGTAGCAGACTGGCAAAAATTAATCTACTGGTAGTGGAAGTTTAACTCTGATCACAGTAAATTCAATTTGCCATAGAACTGCACAGAAGTTCACCAGTCAAAGTCATTACATTTGAAAACAATACAGTATAAAGTGTACAAACTAAATAATATAGTTTTAGTCATAGATATTAAGTGGCATTTTCAAATGACTAAAATTCAGTCTACTGCCAATTTCCAAAGCGACATGGTGGTTGCTGAGGTTTACAAGAAAAAGTTATAAACACAGTATTTATCACTAGCATAAAACAACTTAGTGAAAAACTTTAAAAGTCATCTTTATGCAATCTGCGATAAAATGTACGACAAATCTGGCTGTCTACCAAACTGATATACGTAATTACTATGCCTTGAGACGATGGGTATTTTACAACCCGAAGTTGTTAAGCTGATTCAATAAGAATGAAGTTACGTGGCGCTGAAGAAAAAACATTTACATAGTTTCCACGACCAAACTTTTTGGGGGTCAATAAATTAGTAAGATAAACTTACTTGTTTTTCTTTCCATAGTCTGCTAAAATAAGATCCTTCAATTGATACTCTACTTTAATCCAATCATCAGAGCTAAGTGACGGCCAGATGTGATGAGGTTCAGTGATTGTTGTTTTATCAGGCTTGAGTACAATCTTTGCTTTATCATTATTGACATGTAAAGCTCGCAAAATCAAAATCAAGCGAGAAAATGCCGTATAGGAGCTGATAGATTTAAGCCAATCATCATAGAGATTAAATAGGACCATCTGTGGTTCTGATGCCTTCAATATGAGATCACCGAACTTTTCAACTTTCAAGCACGCTTGGAAAGGTAATTGCAGTTCAGAACCCTAAAATACAAAATAGACAAAACTTCATGTAAGAAGATGACAGAGATATTCAGCAATGCTAGGGATGGTCACAATCATGTTGGGTGAGAAGTTGAGATCAATAAATCTAGTTATTTACAATTTCACGAGATAAACGTGTTTGTTCAGTTAAAATCAACCGCAAATAACTCTTAAGAAAGAACTGAATTACAACTAAAGTTTCACCTTTTTAACACTACATCATACATCGATAAAAGTTAGTTTGTTGGAAACTTTTTCAATTACTCAAATGCAAATAGGCTAAACACCACTACTTAAGTAATGACGAGTCGAAAGACAAAGGATTTAAAAGTAAGTGTTTGTTAATGCTGGTGAACACTGAATAGTTTGTTTGTTCGAACTGGCCTCCATTTGGCGGGAGACAGGAAGGTTGTCATTGCTTAATCGTGTACTGGTTGGCAGAAGATTGGAGAAATACGGATGAGAAGTACTGCTGTATATCATATTAACGTTTACTTACAGACTTTGGCACTGATTAACCACCATGAATCTGTTTTGTTATCGCTTGAAGAATAAATAATCGTGTTGCCTAACCGTTTTCTGTTGTTCCGCGTCGGTTACAGTGCATAGCGTTCTACGTTTTAAGCTTAACCCTCTGAAACTAGAGATAGGTCCAGGATCTCAGCGATCTGTATATTTGACAGCGTTTTTATAAAGTCCTACCATATTTTCAGTCTAACGTTATGAAAATGACACAAACTAATTTCATGAGTTAGGAATATTATTCAAAGTTATATATGCACACATTTTACCTTGATTACAATATTCGGGAAGTCGAGAAGATGCACTTCCAAAGGATCTAACATGCCCTTACGAGTAACAATAATTTGCTTAGGTTGTTCTTCAACTGGCAGTGAACGAATGAGTGCAGCGACTTCCTCAGCTGTTTTCCATTTTGCCAACTGACCTAAACGTTTTTGTCCTGCCCATACAGATGTATGGATAATTTTCAAGAATAACTGTCCAGTTCGTGGGTTGAAAATGAAAATCGCTCCATTGATAGGCTTTGTCGTAAGATTGCCTTCAAAAGTCTACAAATATACATAAACCGTAATTAATAAGGAATGAAAAACAAAGGTTGAAAGTTCACATATTACCTCAGATGATGGACTACATCAACGAAATGCCTCAAACAAACTAACGAGGTTAACACAACACCAAGTAAGCCTAAGAGAAGAACTAATGCTGAAAACTCATAAAAAGTTGCTGCTAGGATTGAAGTATAAGTACAATGTTTGTATTTTTGATAAGAGATTCTTCTTTCCAGGACATTTGATTCTGGGGAGAGACTCTTTTCATTTATTACTAGATAATTTCACATATCAAGGCTACTTACTATCTCCGATGATATCCTTAATTGTGGTAGACTGGATTTTGCGGAAGACTATGGGCAGTGAGTAGCCAGGGATATGTTGGATCTGCAAGAAGGCTAAAAGATCTGGATTTCTCGGACGGTTTATGTCCAATGTCACACAAACTCGAAGATATATAGACAAAAACCAACAACTCGACAGAAAAAGAAGCAAAGAAGAGCCTTCACGTTAACTTAGAGAAGACGGAAGTGCAGAAGATAACTGACTAACAACAACAGCAAGCACCAATCATTATCAATGGAATAAATTCAAAAGAGGTCCTTTCCTTCACTTATCGAGACAGCATCGTTTCAACTACAAGTGGAGCGGATTTTGATGTCAAAAATGGAATCGGAAAGGCAAGACATAAATTAATTCTGAAATCAGTTTGGAAATCATCTGCATTCAGCATAAGGAACAAGATTCGGATTTCCAACACCAATTTTAAGTCGGTTCTCCTATATGACCTTAGAAGCTTGGCGCAGCAGGAAAAGCATTTCTAACAACCTGCTGCAGACTTTTATCAACAGTTACCTTCACTGACTGAATGATGATTACATGGCTGGATAAAAAGAAATAGCAACAAGAAACTCTAGGAACGACCCAATCAAGAACCTATTGCTCGACCAGAAAATATTTCAAAGAAAATGGAGGTAGGTCGGACACATGCTGAGGAGACCGTTTAATGACATCGCAGGCCAGGCTATCACTCGAGTGGAACCCGAATGGGGAACGTGGGTCCGAGGATGAAATTGAGGAGATCGTGGGGCCAGATAAAGAGGACTGCAGAGAATGGGACGAAATGGGGACGTACTGTTGAAGCCATGTATTCTACTCAGAACCCAAGGGAATAATAATAAAATAATGAGGATTGAAACATGATTTCTGGATGATTTCGATAACTATTCTAAGGCAGTGTGAACAACTTTTATAATGACTATACAGGTCATTACATACACGATGCGCGAAAGAAAAGAAGGATCAATTTTGACATTTAATTTCTTATAGATGCAGTATTTACAGTATTACTATTGTCAACTATTCAGAGTAAACTTGTGACATTCAAAAAGTCAGCCAGCAGAGGTCCAACATTGATTAACATAAAGACAACTTACTTAATTAGGACTCAGTGTCTAAGTATGACTGTTTGCTGTCCTTCCTGTTTTCTATTTAAGTATAGTTACAAATCCGGAAGAAATTACAAGTCTCTTTTCGTCTGCATCGCTAGTCTGTCCCACTATATTCAAATACAATTCTACCTATATCGGATCATCATATAGCACTTTACAAAAATTTTGATGCCGCAGTAGGTGTAATTTTGAGAACTTATACTGAGTGAAAAAGGAAATAAACAGACTTCCAAAAGTCTCAAGATATGATGAATAAAAATTCTGATCGCATTATGGCCAAACGTTTTTAAGCACACGCATATTAGTAAACGAAGACAACAGATATTTTTTTTAAATTACTGACATTTACCCCAACTTACTTTGTGTATAGTAACACGGTATACATTTGTATCATCAACAAACCATATAATTTGATTGGAGAACAATTCGTTGTAGTTCTGTGAGCTTAAGTAAGGCTCAGTAGGTTCGCTAGAGTACAATTGTAATGCTTTCCTAATACGTTCACGTAACACATACAGAGCGGGATTAGCTTTCATTATTTTGACCATTGCCTGTTGAATTAGTGGTTTACAACCAGGGAACCAATTTCCATAAGCACTGATTATAAACAAACCAGAAATTAATAAATAGATTTTATAACATATAATTACGAAAATGAGCAAACAACGTCGTTCCATGAGTCACAGTAATTAATTTCTGCCAAATGTTAAACACTGAACAACCTTTTAAAAAATGTCTATTGAAATATTCCTGGCAAAGAGTGCTAAGACATTTTAATAACATGTAAATGCAAAACGTATGAATTGTAGCAACTCTTAACTGTCGATGAAAATTCAGTTCAATTCTAGGCACTAATTCTACCAGCAAAATGACTTGAAACTGTTGGCAAACATCTGGCTGACACATACTGTTTCACCAGTATCTTCTACCTAAAGAAGATTTAGCTAACTATACACAGTAAATCAATCGAAAATTGAGAGAATAACAGTAACAAGACTGACAGTGCAGCAAATGAATGATTTCATACTTATTATTTACACAAAATGCTTTGCAAGTGTAAATCGGATGATTCTATGCGAAAAACACTATTCCTACACACAAACATTTACAAAGTCCCCGTGATGAAGTAATGAAATATTGCAAAACCTTATTCAATTAATCCGGGAAAATGATACAGAAAAGACTATTGTATCGCATTGTTCTTGTCAGGTAATAGTAATGTGGTGCAACAAATGTGATAGGCATTTGCAAGTGATAAAAATTAGCATTTGAAATATTCGACTGTTGAAAAAATTAATACTAACCTATGCAAATTATAAGCAAGATCAATTGCGATCATGACACCTGTTGGAGAAGGATAAATAGACATGTTGTCAGTTGTATAGTCCAGAAACTTTGCTCTAGCATAACGCTCAATATCGTGGGAGTCATAATCACCCCATCTCAACTGAATATCGATCCAGAATTTTTGGGTAGTGGTACCATCCATAAGGTCTCTGTAATAGGAAAAACAGAAGATAATAACAAGGACTGTCTTGAACAGATTACGTTTTCACTAAGGGTATACATATTATAATATAATATATATATATATCTTTGGGTTTTCAACGAGGCTTGATATTTACTTGCAACAAAGGTAAAGCTGTAAATACCGTTTATCACATCTTATTGCACTAAATTCTTTAATGCATTCATATGACCGCTACGTTAATTAAAAGAAAAAGCTAATGATGCTTTTGATATTATTGCCTTCATTTTATTACGAGATCGCAGTTGATAAAGTTAAACAAATTGGTTATGGTCACTAGCAGGATACGCAAGTCAAGAACTCTTTGATGACTAGTAAAATTGTCTGGTAGTATAAGGAACTTGGATACATTTACACATACGAAAAATACTATTGAAATCTACGGCACTGGAAACATACTTTGAATCAGCCAAAAGACTTGGTCTGGACACAGGCCACTTGTAAGAAGCAAACAAAAGAATATCTGCACAACTGGAATTCATTTTATAAGACTTTCGAGGATGGATGGTTTCTTTTTGCACAGTTTCTATCTCCAGAGCATCTAGTTCTTGATCAAACACTTGACAAATATCCATGACTACAGATTCGTGGATTTTTTGCCACAAGTGAGCGCGGAATATTTGGATGAGTGATATTTTTAGAGTTGGGATTTTACCATGCATAAATATGCCAGTTAAATCAAGCTGTACTTGGAAACCGACGTATACCTAGAGCAAAAAAAAATACTAAAATCAGTAATTGCTGAATACGGTTATTAAAGAAATAGCTAACTGCACTGATATGCCAATTGATGACTTTGAACAGAATGAAATTTTCAGCCTTCTTCGCTTTGCAACAAATTTACTCCATTTACAGAAAAAAATAGAAAGAAATAACCATATAATCTGCAATTTGTGCTAAATAACTCAAAAAGTCATTCGATTTGTGTGTACGCTTCACTGCTCGCTGTCATTTCATACGTATTTCCCCTCGATTTTGTAAGGAACATGGAAGAAAATATATTGAAACGTTGTTAAAATTGCACGAGTCAAAATAAAAATAAAATGGTTTTATATGATTCAAACAAGAGCAAAATTAGTAATTCCAAGCAACGTGCGTTTGATGGAAGTTGTATATCTTAAAGTGAAGACTGAGATTTTAGGAATCGGTACTTTATAGTATGGGAAGTTTAACAGGATAATAAAATGAAATTCTCAAAATTTAAATAGCGATGGAAGTGTATTTAACTGATATAGGCAATGGACTTTCAACTAATGGTACTAGGGCTTAAATGCAACTCAACCTTTTTTGATGTGGCGATTGGGTAGTATAGTGCAACATATATAGTTCATAACAGAAAAATACAAATTTTACCGCATAAATTATAAGCAGCATTTTAATATTCCTTAGCGTGATAAGCTGCTGCCATTTTGCATGAAAATGAATTCACAGAAGGAATTTTCAGTGTATTATTTATTCAAAAATGACATGAATAAAATAAAATGAACCGTTTTAAATGTTCGAATGTACTTCAGTTATTGAAATCTTATGTCAGAATAATCTAAGACCCAAAATAACTTACATTGGCTCGATTAATAGTTGGAGACCACCACAAAGTAAAACGTCGATTAGGTATTTGATTCAAACCCGACCGTTGTGCATTAGTTAGCTTTTTATACTTCATTGACTCTTCAAAACCACTGGCTTTCTCCCTAAAATTGTAAAAAATAAGATACACAGTAACAGAAGTACAACGATAGATTAAATGTATCATATATATATATATATATATATATATATATATATATATTATATATATATATAAACCAGTATACCTACTGTTAGTGAGACTCAGTACCAGTTGTCACGAAAGGGACATAATGCTTTCACAATTGAGTTATCACATTAGTGTCAGATTAGAAAAACAGATAATTAGGTTGGGTGAACGAACAACAATATATTACATGGGTTAGGAACTTACCAAAAAAGACCCTCCCAAGTAGGAAAATATGTTCCTTTGAATAATGTGTGTTCCAGAATGCCTTCGACACCACCTAATGCCTGGATCATGTCAGTACGGTAGTTATTCAAATTCCACAATTTTCCATCATGTCTCTGATGCGTCCACCAAAATGGATTTTGTTTGAGAACTTGATATTGTTTAAACTCCGTACGCACGCGCCATCCTTTATCATACGCCAGTGTATGTCTATCTTTTTGGAAGAGAGTATTGATTCGCGGAATACCTCGATCCCAGCTGTCTTCAAGATCCTCTAATGTTAAGCGCCTTAAGAATGTTATAAAAAATGAATTAGCTAGGATACATACGAAATTAATTACACAATGCATGTATAATATACTGCCAAAAAGGTCTCAAGAAATCTCCTTAATCTAACCTGAACAATGTATCAACATAAATATTCACCTTATAACAGCTCGCTAAACAAACCCCATAGTCATATATTAGAAGCCGTTTCAACAACAAACCCACAAACACCGCATTTGCCCATCTAAAAAACATTCATAAAGCGATGTAACAGAACCACAGAGAATTTTGTTCCTGCTTGATATGTATATCAACAACTCGTAAACAACTAACAGCAGTTCCGAAAAACACAACACTTACCGATTCTGAGCATTCGCTTCCTGTCGTTTTAGTGCATACTCCGCCCAAACACTCTGTGAGTCACGGAACTCTGTTTCCCATGATAAAATATATGAAAACAAATTAGGAATAACCTGATCCTCATCATGACTCATGCCAGAACGAAAATGTGTTATACCCACATCAGTTTGTTTCGACCATCGTAAATCGGACTGAGGAATTAGAACATGTCCCATACTAAGCATACCTAAGCCACCAAGTTCCTAGACAAAAATTTAAACGAAATAAATTTTTAGGTAAAATAGATGCATATGAGATATAACAAAATGAAATTCCCCACAATATTTATATCAATTTAACAACTTACGTTACCTCTCCTAGTTTGCTAGACGGTCCTAAACACAGAAAGGATGGACATGGGCCTGGAACCTCACCCCTGGAGTCGGGAGGACTCCTCAATTTAAACACGGATAATACCAGCGGGTTAAAGGCTTCGCAAAGCCGATGAGTTTTCTTTCGATCTAAGTAAAAGTAAGCTTAGGGACATGGAATATTAGCACCACGTTTGAGGCTGGCTGGTAAGCCTGCTCAGATGGCACGAGGGATAAGAAGATATGGTATCGAAGTGTTAGCAGTCTGTGAGAGCGGTTGAAATCAAAGTGGATTCTCCAAATGGTTAGGAGTAGTCAACAATCTACTCGGGTTACTCAAACGGTAACCATGAGCACACTTAGGATATGACTAGCATGATGTCACCACGAACATGATGGACCTCATGTATTGGGAACCACAATCATGAGAGAGGAATTGAACTCTAAATGAAGTGGAGTTACTACTATACAAAGCAGATTCAGAGAAGCAGGAATTTTATGGGCAGTAGTTCACTCGACTTCAGGTGGCTACATCAAAATTCTAATCGGTGATATGAACGTCAGGCAAACCGGATGCAGACAAACACAAGAATATAGCTCGCTATGACCCGACAGGCAGTTTGTGAAAAGAATAAGAAAGGAAAACTCCTTGCAGACTTAGAAAACTGAAAGAAGTAGCGGTAAAATACATCTTCATGGTAATCGCCAGGAAACTAGCACCAGAGACACTAAGCAAAATCACGGACGAAACCTGTGTGAAAAGGCGCTGGAATTCGTTTAAAGGAGACGGTGGAGTAAATCTTTGGCGGACGGAAGACGCAAGACAAAGAATGCCGTACTACGGGCACCTGGAGATCATCGACAGCGTAGACCGACAGAAAATTGTGCAATTGCAACACCACGAAGTGTAATGAATGTTTATGAACAATTCAACAGCTATTTGCTGATGCCACATGTCAGGTAAATGAAGACAAGCGTAAGATAAGGCTACTTATTGCCACCGATAATCTTCCTGAATGTGGCGGATTGAATCATGAGGGACATTGTGCGGTGAGAATACACGTGCACAAGGGTAGACTAATAAAAATAAATTAGAAGATTTGGATTGTGCAGATGTCTTATGTCGCACAAAATCACAAATTTACAAGTGAAAACCAACATGTTGGTAGAAGAGGCAGACAGCACAGGAATTCAGATAAATATACAGAAGATAGGAGTGATAAGGATACCCGACAACCAACAGCTACAAATACCAACTAGAATTAGTAGGAGATCTAAGGGAAGTCCCCTCTTTTACGACAGCATCGTTCCGATTACAGGTGGTGGCATGGATGATGTCAGAGTCAGAATCAAGGAAGCAAGACGAGTCCTGATGGCTGAAATTAATGTGCAGATCAACGGCGCTTAGTGAAACAAACAAAATCCGCCTTTAACACTAATGTTGAGTCAATGCTCCTACATGGTTCCGAGACTTGACGGATTCGACACCTAATGTATTTCCAACAGGCTGTAAACTTTCACCAGCACCTGCCTTCAATGGAAATTAATCAGATCAGATAAGCAACATAGGACTTTCGCGAACTAACGAACAACCTACTGCCCGACAAATACGCAGAAGGAAATGGATTAAATACATGCTAAGAAGACCTTTAGGTAATATAAAACGCCAAACTGTCAAGTGGAATGCGAAAAGGAAGCAGAGTTGAGTGTCCAATTGTGACAGAAAAGATTACGTAAGATAAGTATGAAAGTTTGTGGGCAGTCAAAAAGCCAGTTAGAAATGATAGCAAGGAACCGAGTGCAATGTAGATGTGCCTTTGAAGCTCTATGTTCTACTCGGAACTGACTGACTGGTTTCAATTTAGAACTTTGCACATATGTGCGGCAGTTCAAGTCGCCACACTCCATGTAGCACACAAAGCAAGAGAAGAAAATTGGAGAAATGCATAATAGAGACAGTAAACAGAGGCGTGAGACAAAGGTATAGTAATTACGAAGAACAAAACAGTTTCATTGGAAATCATAAGTCACAAGGAGTGGATGCATCTGCGCCACTGAGAACGATTTTGAGCCATGTCACCAATTGTTTCCAACCGTCCCGAGGACCCCAACCAGGAAGTCTACATCTTCCTACGTGGCTTAGACTAACTGTTGTAGATTTCATTGACTGGTGCCATGTTTTCATTTGACCGCCGCTAGCTCTTTTCCAGCCTGGCCGTATATCAGCTAACATTGACCATTGTCGAGGAAGGCGATGACTAGGCATACGTTGCACATGTCCTAACCATCTCAGACGATATAATTTCACAGCCTCATCAATTGATTTCCCCTCCTTACCTAGCACTCGACGCCTATATATATATATATATTGCTCACCCTATTATACCACTTAACGCGGGAGATAGAACGCAGAAACCTATGATCGAAGACAGCTAATCTTTTCATGTCTTCTGCTCTCAATGGCCAGGTCTCACAGCCATAATGGAGGACGGAGCGGACTGTTGAGCAGTACACACGCCCTTTGGTCGATAGTCGGATATCGTGTCTACGCCAGAGACGGCGTAAACTGGCATATGCGAAACTAGCCCTCTGTATTCGTGCTGAGATTTCGTCGGAGATCAACCCGTTGGGGCTGATGGTACTTCCCAAGTAAGTGAAGCGGTCAACGTGCTCTACCACTTCACTTCCTATTTCTAATCTAGGGGTCGGTGAAGTCCAATCCTGCAGCATCATCTTACATTTTATAGGTGCGAATCGCACGCCAAACATACAGAGATTGCTGCTCAAGGTGTTCAGTAGACTCTGCATTTTGTCAGCGTCCTCGCCTAGAAGGACTATATCGTCCGCATATTCTAAGTCGACGAGATTATTCCCTGGTAGCAAGTCAATCCCTGAGTCGCTGAAGTGTGTTAGGGTTAAGGCCATTAGTACGTCTGTGATGAAGTTGACTAGGAATGGGGATAATGGGCATCCTTGACGGACGCCATTATGCCCCCTAGCAAAGGAGATAGACCGCAGACACCTATGATCGAAGACAGCTAGCCACCCTTTCCATGTCTTCCACTTTTAATGGCTAGATCTCACAGCCACTAAGGAGGACAGAGACAGCTGCTGAGCAGTACACACGCCCTTTGGTCGATAGACATACCACATCTATAACAGTAATGGCGTCAGTTGACAGACAAATGACAAACGAGCAATCTGTATCCGTGTTGAAATTTCATCAGCGATCAACGGCTGGCGGATGCAACTTCCTAAACAAGTGAAGTGGTTAAAACGCCCAACCAACCACTTCACTCTTGCCTCTTTAAGCTAGGAGTCAGCTTACACTTGAAAACAGCGAATCTCATGCCAAACATTTGCAGCTTGCTGCCCAAGGTATTCAGAAGACTGCATTTTGTTAGCGTTTTCACCTAGAAGGACTGTATCATCTGCAGATTTTAACTCAGCGAGATTACTACCTATAACAAGTCAGTCTCTGAGTCACTGAAATTAGGGTTAAGTTCATTAGTACATCTATGATGAAAATAGACAGAAATGAGGAAAGTGGACATCCCTGATAGACACCAGTGGTTGTCACCACCTCAATTAACAACTCTCCGTAAGCCCTCACCTAGTTGCATGAGTTAGAGTAGAGTGCGCTGATCAGTGCAATTTACTTTCTCGGCATTCCCTTCACAGACAAACATCGCCATAGTATCTCTTGGTCGACGGAATCGAATGCCACCATCAAGTCAAGAAATATGACAATTGTTGGATGCCGGTGAGTATGTCTATGTTCCAGAATCTGTCGAAGGGTGAAGATATGATCAAATACACCCTCTTCCTGGTCTAAAGCCTGTCTGGTTCTGTCGTGTTTGTTCCTCCCGAGCACCGCCTAGTCTACACAGCATTATTGAGCCTAGAACTTTAGATATCTTATTGGTCAAACTATCCCCACTGTGATTATCACAGGAAAACTCGCTTCTTGGATATCAGGATAACCAAAGACTTACACCAGCCCAACGAGACTATGTCTGATTCCCGGACGCTGTCTAATACTTTAGTTAACGCAGACAGTAATTTATGTCCATCGTTCTTACACATCTCTGGAGTCATTCCATCAGGTCCCGAGGCAAAGCTGCGGGATGAGTGATAATAGAAATAATGGTTATATGACAAATAATTAGCATAATACAGGCATGAAGAAATAAGCTATAAATATTCTGGAGCAGTGGAAGAGAAAGTATTCATGAGCTCACCTTTGGTGTATAAAATACTACTGGAGGAAAACGAGCCGGCATTTTTGAATTTAATCCAATTTTGATACGTGTTTGTATTTTGTTTTCGCATTTTACCAGCAAATCTAATAGTGCCACAGTACTCACTGCTGCTTCTCGGTAGTAGGTCATTAAACCAATGAGAGCAGTGTTCCATTTATTCACTATTTTTGTAAATGTTGTCGATCCTGAAGCCATCAAAATTTGTCTGACTCGATTGTGGAACCGCTGCATTGATTCATCATCAACACGGAGGAAACACTGTGCAGTACGTTCTTTGGTCACCTGGAAAAAAGGTAATATTAAGTGTATCGTCAAACTACGATTTATTCGTTCATTAAAAAGTAATTTATGATGGCTAATTTGCACAATGCTATACCTCGTTTTGTAGATGCCAAACACCACTTGGAAGATTTGCATCTGCAGCTTGACCAGGTGAACGACAAGATGGTAGAATACGACATTCGAACCCACACATAGCAAACAACAGATTCGGATTGTCTTTGCTATAAACTGAAACGAAGCTGCTATCCCAATCAACTGTTGTGACAGATCTTGGTAGACGGTTTTTGATGTCCCAAAAGACGGCACGTCCGAGATTTACGTCGTGTTTCATTAGCCTCATTCTGCTATCACGTGGCCAGCACTTTTTGTTGTTATAACCCACAATATTTTCATTGTTTGGGTCTGGATGTTCTGTTAAATAACGTTGGATAAGGTCACGCGCTTCGTCCGCTGAAAAACGGAAGAACATCCAAAAGCGATCCACGTAACGACAATACAATCGGATGGGATGTGCAATTTCCGTGGCAGTATCCTGTTGAAATAGACAAAGAGGGATTATTTAGTGTTGAGCCTTAGCATTTAAGATATTGGAACAATAAAAATTGAGGACATTTTTACCTGAAATTGCAGAAAGTCATTTGGCATTTGTGGAGGTCCACACATTTCAGCTGCACGCTCCAGACCCAAAACTAGCAAGTCAAGGACAAGACCATAGTACTGTGTGATGAAAGATGAGAACTGCAGACCTCGAATAATTCCGTAACTGTTTGTATGGTTCATGTCTTTGTAATTTATCACAACGTTATTTTTCGCTGTCATATAATCCGCAATATTGTGATCAACAATCAATCTCAAGAGACGATTAAGCAGCGTTAGATCTATCTTTTCGTAAACTTTTTCGAATTTTGTCTCTAGTAAGACGTTACATTCACCTTCACCAGTTTCCCAGACATCCTGAAAATCAAGAAGTGTAATAAAATTAACTCAGTTTTGTAATACTAAGAAAACGTATAAAGCAAAACAAAGTGCAACAAACAATTATCTCAGATGAATAAGAACGAGTACGAGATACGTGTAATAGGAACAAAAAATAATCGTACAACTTAAGCTCCAAGCTTTAAGTAAAATATGTAATTTTAACATTGTTTTAACAGTGTTTTATTACTCTGAGATATTGATTCATGGTTAAAATCTAATTCAGATGATAACAAATATTTATGAAATAGGTATATTTGTAGAAGAACCGAAGAGCAGTATGAGAAAAACCATTATCTATTAGCTTACCTTTAGATTATTGATACCCTGACACCATTTGTAAACTAGTAAGGGTGGGGGTTCCAAATCAGCCGGCTTAATCCAAGGAGGGAACAGACGACGTTTGTCCGCTTCATACCATAAATATTGATCCAAATAAGCATCCGTTATTTTTTCCAAAGGCTCAACATCATAAACAGGTACCAAATGGCTGTAAAGATCCATGAATTCAATCCCAACTTCTTTAAAAGCCCTCTGGGTGAGTAAATGACGTTTGATACGACTGAGAGCTTCATGTGGGTTATCGTAGGCTTGTTCAATTAGACCAAGTTCTTCACGCTGAGACTGATTCAACCTATTTTTCACACTATATGATTCTCGAAGACGTTCTAGAGCGAGGATGAGTAGTTTAGTATCGTGTTTGTAACTCAGCGGTGGGAATGGAATAGGTGAAAAACGCCGACTTTCCAACCAATGCACAGTTGTTGTGTAAATAGCGACAGCCTCTTCGGCAGTTACATAAGGACCATCCTAGAATTAAGAAAGCGGTATTAGGTACATACATAATTTCTGAACAAGCAACAAGTGATGATATATCAAGAATTACTGAGTTTATAAGATCTTATTGGTACTCATCTGAATATTTCACATTCTTTCTTACATACGAATACAGGGAAGGATTTAGACAAATACCCCGATGATTGAGTCATCATTACATAAGAGACATGAACAGAGTGAGGGGGCGAAAAAGAATGAAGAAAATTCTAAAAATAATATAAGCACGTACTGACTTACAATAACACCAAGATAGCATATAAATCAAGCAAATATGAAACAAACCTTTAGATAGTTGTGTTGTCGTTCTTGTTCTGCTTTGAGATAAAGTCTAGTCAAGCGACCTAGATTCTTTTTACAAACAGTTTTATCAACTGTTGCACCACGCCGTATACGTTCCCGATTATAGTGGGCTGTATTAGTCCACCAATCAGCTTTCGCTTTGACATAACGTAAAATCATATTCTCAATAGGAATAGGCATATTTGGGACCTAAAAGACAAAGTGAGAAAGTAACTTTCACTAAACCTTGTTTGTTGAAGATATCATTTATTTAAAAAAGTATTTAACCCTTCAATATTTTAACCAGTCTAAGAAGCACAATAATTAAATCCTGAATAAGAGCATCCCCGAGATATCCCTTTCTTTGTGCACAAACTCCTGTTAAAATACTTATTACACTCACAATTGTCATCCATTCTCTCACATCAATATTTCAAAAACCAGCATGTTAAGCAGCATAATAGGACTTACTACTTAATCTACTTTTCGTAACTGGGGAACTTAGCAATAAGAAATTTGCAGCAGCAGGTAAACGCAAGCGAAAAGTTCCACAACGAATAATACTGCAACGACGAACATTCCGTTACCTAAAACCCTAAAAGAATAATCTTTAGTCCTACATTCTACTTCTTCACAAAATGAAAAATGAATAGCCTCAACTCAGTGTCGAATCGGTGCAGACTTAATAAACGATCTGAAAATCGCAGTTTATATAATTAGCTACAAAGAACAAACATTTGACGATTTTACAGGTACGATGGTTAACCAACCGTATACTATTGGACAACAGAAGATTCTATGCATGTCAACTTCCTGGATTTGGCCAAACTTTCGATACTAAGTCCTTACAACATAACTAAGGTAGGCAGAACCAAGAAGGACAACCGTTGATGACTCAGATATCAAAGAAATCTACAAACGATAATAATACATAGGTGAGGCGGAGCTAAAAAGCTTATTCATTCTCAAACACCGAATAGATACAAATACTAACGCGATACATGCTGAGACAACTTTCTGATTAGTATATTAACTTAATGCTTCAGCCCTACTAAAGTTGCGGATACAGATTACTCAAATACCTAAGGTACTTTAAATACCTCTCCCATTAATGTTTTGTAAAAAGTATCCCTCTTTTGATAAAGCAGTAACGTGCAAAATAACAAGATATCGAGACTTAAGTAAATTGCAAGCAACACTAGGGACTTATCTATTTAGCGACATTGGGATTATTTATTAAATGAGACAAGTCAGAAGTAGAAACTTACTTTCCACGGAATATTGGCTTTCCAGCAACGCCAGGCCTCCCCTAGGTGCTGCAAAATGGTCCTAGCCTTGTTCTGCTTAATACCTTCTGGCATCATGTCCAGTATATCATGCATAACAGCGGCACGTAATTCCAAATCATAGTGAGACTCGACTCTTTGTTTGGTAACTGTTTTAGCAACGCCTTTAGAATGTCTTCCTTCAAATTGCCGCGATAAAAGATTTCCCAACCAACGTTCGAGTAATGGGGTTATGCCACGCATGAAAAACAGCCACACCCTCCAACCTGGTGCCCAAAATCCCACACCTGGTCCTTTACCAACTGGTCCAGTGTTGAAACGGTAGTATATTACGTGTTTGAGGTCTTTACACATTCTGATTTGGCGCATAAGCTTGTATTTGTAACGGTACATTCCCGTTAATTGTCCGACATGTGAAAATATGTACTGAAGTCCATCTGCCAACTAAAAACAACAATAAATCACTATTAACAAAAAAGTTTTAGTAGTTTCAGTTTTGGCAGTTTCCTAGCATGAAAAAATCAATGCTGAAATATACAGCCAATGATTTTTTATGCTATGTGGTCCACATGACGACCACATTCCGGACCCCTGCGTTTTCATCATAAAAGTAATATTAATTTTCAAACGAGATTTCAAGAATTTTTTATTTACTAGCCCAAAAACGTAAAGTTGTGTAAATACCTGGAATGCGTCGACGTTACCCAGACGGTACTGAACATGACTATCCACAACAAGCTTTGTTAGACGCAGTATTTCTCGGCAAAGATGAAAGGCATTACCAAATCGAGATTTCTTTCTTTCTTTCGTAGTTAAAGTTTTCACTGGCTTCAAGTTGAAGTTATAATCCAGATGTAAGTAGTTGAGATTTTTCCGATGAATAAGAAGGTTGAGCATGTTGTAACCCTGACGACAAACCTGAAGTCCAACTTCAACCCAATCCAAACTGGTGATTTGAAAGAATTTAGTGGCCTTGAAAGAACGAAACAAGTAACGCTTCTTCTGAGGTTTTGGACGACGATGGTGTAGAGCATTTAGAACGAAGTATTTCAACAATTTTTGGTAAGAAACACGAACCTGAAAAAGCAAATGTACGAATGCTGCATCTAACCTACCTTTACGGGCATACCTGCAGGACAGTGTTCCCTGTACCAGGCTTTAACAAGAGGAATGTCAAGGGCTCGTCTGGTAGATCCTGATCTTAAACAAAACGGCCTTGGAGCCCATAAAAGAGCTATTCCATTAGCTGTATTGTCAGTATACAAAGGGGTTTCACTGAAGAATGGTCGGACTTCTTCCGGGAGTTCGTATGATTCATCATCAACTGGTTGCAACTCTGGGGCCTATGAAGAATATATATGACAGATACATGACTTACCTTCACACCCTGTCTCTGGGATATGGGGTTAATTAGAGGGTCAAAGTAAAATGCTGGGAGGTCAGGATCTTCAGTTTTAATGAAAAGAACGTTAGGAGTATGATACCAGGATAAATGAACTTGAAAAGGATAACTGTTATACAGATATGGAAACGCTATTCGATATTCAGTACGAATAGGTTGACGAATTATAATCTTGTTAATATCGTTGAATTCATTCCAATCCTCATCCCTATAAATTATTGATTAGTTAAAAACAACGCATTACTCTAAAGTTTTGTCCTTAACCAATGGTTCAAACTTAGGACCTCCAGGAAGGGCGACATTCAATGCCTTAGCTGTGAAGAATGACTTGAGGTCGAACAGATAAAAATAATTTTCATCAACAAGATCTGTTAGTAGAGCATTAGCCAGACGATAAAGATTGGACATAATGTTTAGTGGCAGGTTCCATCGTCGGTATGTTATGCCGTTGATATGCCTATTAAAAAATTTACATTATTAAATAAACAGAAATTAAGGTATCGATAGCGTTAACTTTTCGAAAGATAATCTGAATTCCATAATACATGTGAATAGTACTCCAGATTTCAACTTGAAATATACCAGACGGCAGTCAGATATTAAAAAGTTGGAAACCGACCAAACACAATAGATACTAGTGCGCGACCCAGAATAACACATGCAGGTAACATAGCGTAGCGTACCATTACCGGTGTCAGTGTGATGATTGTACGTAGATAGACGTAAAATGTCTCACAGAAGTACTAACTGTCACAATTTGTTCTGGGTTTTGTCCTGTTCCATTAAAGGTGTTTATTGTGATGGTATTATTACGTATTAACATGCTGTGGAATTGTGAGAAAAATGGCTCTCTGGGGTTCCAGACACGAACCTTGTCCAACGACTTGTCATGTTACTAATTATTTGATCAGATTTGCCAACAACATTCATCACATAACCCGGCACTTACACTACTGTTTGACAGAAATAATATGCGATATTTCACTAGCCTTACTTGAGCTGTGAAGCTAAACGTAAACCGAAGTCTTTGAGAGACCTCCTAGTACTTAATAATGAAGCAAAACACCACTGATTAAGGGATCTGTTGGCAGTTTTATAGATTAAGTAAACATGAATATGGATAGTAATAACATCTGAAAACTCAGTACCCTCAAAAGTGATCTGTGAGATACAAATATAACTGACTCGAAAGAATGACGTGGTAGGACGTAGAGCTGGATCAGAGTAAGACCACTCACGAAAACCACTGGACTGCAGCATATGACTATACAATGAGACTATGTCACAACCACCAATCTTCAGACAGAGAAAACTGATGAGTGATTTTATCGTAGTGTCTAGTCGCAACCACAAAAACTAATAATACTTCTGACCAAAATGCAGTCTCGACAAGTGACCTACTACATTTCCCTACTAGAAGGTGTATACATTTCAAGTAAATCCATGGAGTGACTATGCTAATGAGACCTTAGAAATAATTTTTGGTAAAATTGAGAACGTAACATAAAACAAATCAGAAACTACCACAGAAGACTACTTAGGACTTGGTGTTTTATGTGACAGTTGCCGGGTATGAATAAATCCGACCAGGCTATATTAACTTATCGAATGAGCAGTTCTAATCTATGGTGGTTTTGAGAAAATAATGGGGAATCGATAAGTTATGTCTTGTCAAAGTTTATACACATTCAGCTGGTGACCAGACTTACTTAGAGTCTGCTAAAGGGTTTCTGTCATAAAACCACTCGATGATTGCAGCATCTTCTTCTGTGTCTAATTCCAGTTGTATTGGTTCCAGTGGTTCCACATCAAGTATATTATCAGCATAGTCGAGAGGTGGCTCTTCGTCGTCAAACGGTGGGAACCTCATACGTTTGAAATGTCGCCGATCTCTCTTTTCTCGACGCATCATGATCCACATGCTTCCCCACTGGGCGACGTAAATCGGCTCCACAACCCATGGAATTTCATTGACAAAGGTAATTGCACCCGTGATGTGATATAATACTTTGACATCACGAATCTGCTCCCATGGCATCGGCATATTTTCCAGAAGTTTCAGTACTGCGTGTGGCATGTATTTCAACGCACCAAGGTACACGCGCTTATCATGCCGGAACTTTCTGTTAGTCATATCTCCATGATCTCTGATGATTTTGCGAACGTGCTCTGGTGGCATTTCATCTTTCTGCGTTTCCACGAAGCCAAACTTGCGCTTTTCTGAGAACTTTTTCGACTGAAGCTGTTGCCATTCTCGGGCTACAAAGAAAAACTATTAAGATCCGCGCAACAAAACACTTATCACACAAGGGGGTGAGTTCAAACTTACCTTTTGCTGACGGTAGCATCTCTGCAGTAGTGATGAGCTCAGTTTCGAATCACCACTCTGACTAGTCACATACGCAGTTAAACAACTGGCAGTGACATCTACTGGTATACGCGTTATGAATGGCGGACTGGTTGAGTTCTTTCCTCTGTAACTTATCCTCGTGGTAAGCCCATAGTTTTGATAGTTTCGAGGCAAGACTCATCTATAGATATCTGAATCATATTCATCGAATACCGTTAATAAGTAAAAAAGCTTTTTTGTTCAGCGAAGAACTTTCTTTTCAACGACTTCATTTTCAAGCTGTACAGTCGTATTTATATTACAGAAAAGGTTATTAAGTGGCACTAAATAATTGCTCAGTCAATATAGATTCAGATTTCAGATTTATTGGTTGAGGATAGAAGGCTTTTAATGTTACTCTTGAGAATCAACTGAGGTTGCAGACACCACTTCTTCTGGGAGTCGATTCCAAGAGTTTATGACTCGGTGTGAGAACCAGTACTCAACAGCAATATGATTTCTTCTTGGCTTTTGAACTCTCCTGCTATGTCCTCTAAGGTGTTCCGATCTTGTGGGAAGGAAAAGAAAATAGGTCAGGTCCGTAGTCATTATTTAAAATTTTAAACATTGATTAAATCTCCTCTCTGCCTACAGTATGACAAGGAGAAGAGATTTAACTTCTAGTCTTCCTCGTATGATAATTATCATGCATGAATCATACGTGTTGCTTTCCTTTGAACCCTTTCTAGAATAAGTGAGTCCCTTTAGACAAGGGCGGCGGCCTGGATGCAGTTTTCCAGTCTTGACCTCACCAGAGATGTATATAAGGAGGTGAACGTATCTCTGGTGATTCTAGTGAAGGCTCTACGAATTGCCATAATGACCTGAAACTACGTGCAGCACCGCGCGACAGTGTACTGTAGTTTTAAGTCGTGCTACATATATGTGATAAGAATAACGATAATTAAAATGTTATAAGGGGTATGTATTAAACGTACTTTTCCTGCAGCTGACTTGCAACTAGTTTTTACCAGCCGTAATATGATTAGACAATGCGTCAAGGATAGATTACCGCTTTTGTCCACATCTATTTGAATTTACTCTTTTACCTGCTCTTGTGAAGCTCTTTATATTGGACGTTGTAAGCGTAATCTCCGAAAACGTGTAGCTGAGCACTATCCACTCTGGTTAATGAAAGGAGAACGTAGAACTGCGAAGTCGTCTATCTGTGATCACCTGTTAGAGTCAGGTCGTTTAGCCCGACGTGATTCATCTTTCAAAGTTATCTACATGGCAAAATCGAATCGATCCAAAAGTTTACGTTTTCTTCACTTATGCATAGCCGAAGCTCTAGCTATACATGAACAGAAACCTAAAAAACGTGTTCAAAACGTTTTGTCAAACCCCTTTCCTTACCTTGGTCATAGTAATGCTCTTTCTAGTTTATACTTTATTTTATTTTACCACTTGAATTCTTTCCAATACACTTCACATCTTCATTCTTATCGTAATCGTACTCTTATTTTTTAAAGTTTTTAGACAACACTTGACATTTTAAAAACATTTTCGATTTCAATTCACTTATAAAACAACCTTTAATAATTTTGTAACTTATCCACTTCAACTCTACCCCTTATAACATTTTAATTATCGTTATTCTTATCACATATATGTATATTCACTGAGCAATTATTTAGTGCCACTTAATAACCTTTTCTGTAATATAAATACGACCGTACAGCTTGAAAATGAGGTCGTTGAAAAGAAATTTCTTCGCTGAACAAAAATACTGTGTTTTTACTTTTGAATAAATGGGTATTTTTCGTGAATACCGTTAACTTCGACCAGAGAAAGAAACCTATCACAAATTGCTATAACGCGCTTTTCAAACATCCAAGCAACAAAGTGAATATATCTAAATCACCCCTCAATGGAAAAACGTCCCGATGCAGCTGAAAAATAGCCTTAAGAGACATTCGACGAAGTCAAAATATTCTGTCTGGATCATATATATATCAGGTTCACACAGGCATGCTGGTGGAGCGGAGGAACATCGGCGTCATATGACAGTGTGCTGTACTACGTTCAATCTCACCTAGTTTACTAGATCGCTAGTTTTCTAGCCGGTTTCAAGACAGGAAAAATGAGGGAAGGTTGGGTATAGGACTAGTGACCCTGCCCCGGAAAAACAATCAAACTGCTACAGAAACCTCAGCGCTCAACAAAAACGTTAAAAATACAAAATATAATTCTGGAAATTTGTTTTTTCGTTGGAATCGGGGGGATAAAATTATGCAGCCTGGTGAAAGCCTTCGTAAAACCAGTCAGCCGATGTGTCCTCCCTCGATGAAGACAAAAATAAAATTTGGGGCATGAATATTTGTTAAGTGTACGAAGCTCAGAAGGCTGCTCAGGTTATCAAAGTAATGAGAAGATACGATATAGAAGTGCTAGGTATCTGTTAGAGCAGGTAGGATGAAAGTGGACTAACGAAATCGTCAACTGGAGAGTCAGTAATCTACTCCTTCTCTACTGACAGACACACCGAAAATCAGATAGACTTCATCTCAATCTTACTCAAGAAAGTAGACAGACAGTCTGCTGGACACAGAGTCGAGAATGGGAGGGGATATGGGCTCAAAACGACTGGAGACAGGCTACAATTTAAGTTCAACATTCAGAAATTGAAATACGAAACTATAAAACCCACCTCACTGCAGTTCTCAGAGTAACATCAAAGACACTGCATAGCATCACTGAAGAAACCTACATGAAAGGACACTGGAACTCTCTGAATTTGATGTTCAACGAAACGTGTGCAACTGTTTTGGGAAGAAACAAGAGGCAAAACAAGGAATGGCTGTCGACAGACACCTGGAAGCTGGTAGGAGAGAGGAGATTGGTGAAAGAGAAGATGACTACACAATGCAAATATGAGCAACAGAAGGAGAAGCTGAGTTCAATATACACTGCGCTGAATAAATGTTTGAAGAAGAGTGCTAGGAAAGACATAAGGCAATTCTACACACACTGGCTGGTAAATGCAGTAGAACAGGCAGGTGGCAGGTAAAAGAGACTTCGGAATATTATATCAGATAACCAGGCGGCTATCCAGTAAGAGATCAACATAGATGAAACCAATAAAAGATGTTCAAGGGAGCCTGATTATCAAAGAGGAGAGGCAAAATAAACAGTAGGTTGGTCACTTTAAAGAACTATTGGATCAACCATTCCCTTAGGTTCGTCCAGAAATACCACCAACAACAGCAAGCCCAGAACTGCCAGTAGACGCCAATTCTCTAACGAAAGCAGTAGTCTTGAATGTAATAACACTGCTAAAAGCTGTGAAGGCAGCAGAACCTAGAGGAATTCCACCTGGAGCACTGGATACTGGTCTAGAGACCACAACAGGTATTCTTAAGTGAGTGTCACAGAAAGTTCGGAAGGAAGGAAAGGTACCTACTGATTGGAAGAAGGAATGACTTGTTCAACTTTCAAAGAGGGGCGACTTAAACCTCTGCAAGAACTGGTGCAGAGTCAAGCCGTTGTCCACGCAAGGCAAAATACTAAGTCACGTCATCCTGGAGAGATTAAAAAATGCACTGGCTGCAGAACCCCGCCAATCGGAACAAGCTGGATTCAGGAAGGGCAATTATGCGCGGACCTAATTGCAAATCTGGACATCAGGTAACGGAGGATAGAATGTCAGCCAAACATTTGTCTCAGTTCAGTCAACTTTGAAAATACTTTCGACCTGGTTGACCGCGAAGTAATTTGGAAACAACTTCTACACTATGGCGTGCAGTACCCCAAGTCTTTATCAACCCCATTCAACATCTGGCTACATGACAATGCCACGTATCATCAGATCCACAACAGAAAATCCACTGGAGCTTCTGAAGTGAATACAGCAGTTAGACAAGGCTACCTACTCCTTATTAACAATGATATTCCTGATTGTAGTGGATTCGTTTATGCAGCACACCTTGCGTGGGGAGGGGAGTGAGAAGATGGGAACACGTTGGAGCACCGATAAGAAAATTCTAGAAGATCTTGATTTCGCGCGTGTATGATTTGTGTTGGGTGTCACACAAACTGGAAGACTTACGAGCAGAAGTCAGCAAACTGGCAGAAGAAGTGGGCAGCGAAGGAAGATAGGACATAGGCGAGATGAACATAGAGAAGACGCATGCGATGAAGATAACCAACCAGCAACAACGGCGACAGAAACCAGCAGCAATCACCATCAACGGTAGAAGTTTGAAGGTTACCTCCATCGCCTATCTAAAGAGGCATCGTTTCAACTACAGGCGATGGCACGGTTAAGGTTTTTGAATACAGAATCGGAAAGACAAGGCAGACTCATTCATCATGCCGAAAATTCAGCTGGGAAATTCACTTCACTCAGCCAGCATGAACAACAAGATTCGAATTTTCAGTACCAATGTTAAGTCACTTAGTCAATCAGTTCTTCTGTAGGTATGAAAGACTTGCACTGCGCATCACGAAAAGCATTTCCAACAACCCACTGCAAACGTTTATCAACAGCTGCCTTCTCTGGCTGCATAATGAAGACCGAATGGCCGGTGAAAAGAGTTAGCAACAAGAAACTGAGGGAACAAACTAAGTAAGAACCTACTGTTAAACAAGTGTGTGGGAGAAAATGGGGATGTAATGGACACACACTAAGGAAACTGACGAATGACAGGACATCTGTCAAGTAGAACCTCGATGGGAAACGACAAGTGGAGCAGTGGGGAGTGACGTAGAGGAAATCATGCGAGGAGGAGGTAAAAGGTTATTGGCAGCCGTGTAGCCGGCTGAAGAGGACAGCAGAAGTCAAAGCAAAGTGAAGACGTGCCCATGAAGCCCTGTTCTCTACTCGGAACCCAAGGGAACAATAACATTAATACGTGTTTGTGTTACTTTCCTTCTCCCGTTCGTGCATGCACCCTAGTTGGCTAGCTAGGCAGTCCTTCATCCTCTACGTTTCCGATCCCAACATATACCTATTACTTTGAACGAGCAGTTTGTTTTTTGATTTGGCTCTGGCACTTTGAGAGTTGTAA